TAAGGACGGCCAGGCCTCTGCTATATCATATTCTTTTGGGGGGAGTGCCGATGAAGCAAACGTATGTTTGCTATAACAATCGACAACGTTACTTATATTCGTATAAGAGTAGGGTGTTGATAAGACCAATGCGAGATCGAAACTGCAGTCTACCCCGGATGAGAACAACTTTTGGGAAAGCAAGGCTATGTGAAATTCAATGGAAACTTCAGCTCAACTCATATCATTGTGGGAAAATTCTACTACCAGTCCTTTATCACCTTACACGAAATAGGGTGAATACATCTCATGACATAATGCAGTCTTGGTGCCCAATTCAAGTCACTTGTCAAACTAAACCTTTAATTGTCACTAGAAATGTAAATATTGCCTCATCTCCATGTTCACATTTCAAGGCTTCATTCCCACTTCCCAGTTGGTACACACGAATTTACATTCTCATAAATAATTGACATTCCTAGGTAAATATGATATGCATTGCAAGCTCTAGATCCGATTCTGTGTTTGCCCCCAAATATCTCTTGAGCTTCTCACATTATGCCATTCTTTCCAACCTACGCTATGATGATCAAACAGTTGTATTTTTGTGTATCTGCAAAATAGATTCTTTTTGTTGAACGCACTAAATATTTGTACCCAGCCACACTTAAGCATATACACATGAATAATGGGTCATCGCCTCCCGCTCCCCTAGTCAGGGATCTCCTCCAAATCCTATAGAACATACTTCCGGAAGTGCTCCTAGTAATAAAGAAAGATTGCCTCGGAGTTACGCCTTAGAGCAACGCAGCAACTCGGAAGCGCTCCCATTCACCTTTCGAGTCTGTAATAAACGTTGCAATACATTAACATTCCTGCGTTATAAATTTGTTAATTCTGTACATTTGTTCTGTACTCCCTTTACTCTAGGTCTCTTGTGTCTCTTTTCTCATCTTTCATGGTCGGCCCGATTGTCCTCGACAATAGTGGCAGGGAGTCTGGCTGCATAAATGCATGCTATATTAACCATTAGCTGATATCGAAGTGGGTTGACCTCGTTGTCGCAACTTAGTCTTGTTGTCAGGGCGACTTAGTAGAACGCACCTAGTCTGAAGTCGTCTGCCATATTAGTTGTCATAATTCCCAGCATCAGACAGTTGACTTGGTACATTCTCAACGGCGAAACGTTTGAGAATGTATTCATATCTTCAATCAACTGATATCGCCTAATCTCCATTCCATTCATCCCGTCATTATCTGTCCTTATATTTAGTAGAGGATCTAGGCTGTATCGCCTCAAAATCTTTGGCATTTATCCCACAAGTGATCAGTTTGATTATTTTTATCCCTTTAACTCACCTATGCTTTCTCCTCGAATGCTTCTGATG